TACAAGTTTCACAATGCTTCCGCAGTAAAGCACTTGACCGGGCTTATCAAAGATGAAGTAAAAAGCCTAAGAACATTATTCTCCGGTCGAATTCTGAGGCTATGAAACAGCAAATACTTGTTGCAAGGTATCAGACTTCTCTCAGAAAGGAAGAAAGTACCGTCGATGCTGATGATCTCAGTGCCACATTCCTGTGCCAATCATCGGACATTCTTCCTGCATACTCGTCACAAAATGTTTATAACGTGGAACAATTCTCATATTGTGTTGTGTTAAGACTTTTCAATAAATGCAATTCGTCCTATACTGCAGGTCCTGATGATTTACCTCTAGCACTCTTCAAATTCAGTGCTGCTTTCTCATGTGATCACCTCCATGGTAAATGAACCAATTTACACTTCTGTCTCCGACCGTTGAAGACCGTCCACAATCATACCAATCCCCAAAGTATCAAAATCTTCTATCCTCTTCAAACGTTTTCGTCCCATAGCCTTAACTTCTTCAGGTCGTAAATTGACTAAAAAGTCCAGCTTCAAACGCCTTCAGCAGTCTATAAGCATTCCCAACGATCCGTTACGGTTTGCCTACAAGCCTAATATATACACTTTGGGCGCAGTCTAAACCCTTATTCATTTTATCAACTAGCCTTTGAACAACTCTGTTCGGTGTTTTTCTTACTAGTCTTCAGCATTTGATCCCGTTCCTCCATCGAATGAGATTACAAAAACTGGAATCGTTGAATGCCCAGTTAATTGCTGGCTTGGCTATCCGACTATTTTACTGACAGAGAACAAACCACTAGATTGGGGAAAGTTTCATCGAAACCCTTAGTCAACAACTCCGGAGCTGAGGAGCTGTGTTATCCCCACACTCATTTTCCAAGTACATTTCTGATATTCCTTATGTTTCTCCTACACGTGTTTTGGAATATGAAGATAGTGTTGTGCTGTGCCAACCCATTTTTTCTTCTTCCTATCTAAGTTCCCTTACCGACAATATTGGTTGAATTCAGTTAGTTTCCTCTTTACCAGAGCTAACCTAAACCCCAGTAAATGTGTTGAATGTTTTATATAGTTTTGCTCGCTCTTCATACCAGACAGTGATAAAATAACAATCATTTATCTAGGGTACACTGACAAATATCTTGGTGCAACTGTAGGTAGCAATCTTCGTTGGTCAACCCACATCCACAACTGCATTGGTAAACTGCGGCGCCTGTCATTTCAAATTCGAAAGCTCAGGCCGCTTCGTGTACCCCTGTCAGCTATTTCTTTATGTATCAGTGTTTTCCTCATGTTACTTTATTGTTCCCCGGTTATTTTACCTGGTCTACTTAAACGGGATTTCCAAGTCTTACCCCGCGATCTAACTATTATTAGCCGTGTTTCTTCTATTTTTGTTAATGAGTTAGTTGTGAAGCTTTCAGACTATTGTACAACTTCTTGCATGAAATTTGCGGAGTGGATTCTAACAGATCTTGACCACTCATTGCACATGTCACATGGTCGTTACCATCCTGCCACTCTTTCCCAATTCCATCAAATTTCATCGCGAATGACCGCTCACGAAATACACCTATCCCCTATCTGGCATCTTTGTTAAAAAACAAAGGGTAACAATTGACATTTGTCTTAACCTTAGATTATGCCCCCCATGCCTGAAAACATTTCCCCCCGTTGAATATGTTCTCTGTTATTATTTTTATTTCAACACGTAACCAATTACGGAGAACTGGCAAATGTGCCACAACATATGCACAAAAAGAAATCTGAAGAATGTGTTCACAGGTTGTGTGGGTACGTTACTTCGCGGCTGCCGTGGCCGAGGAATGGGGTTAATCTCGGGGTCCCCACCTGAACCCTTTGGCTAGAAAGCCAGACCTACAAGACAACAGGACGGAGCTCAGAGTCCGCAGTTCATTGAGGGCCGGTGTCCAGTTCACTGGATCATACGCCTTTTGGACGGAGTCAAACGTCCAAGATGCCCAATTGAGCCGGTGACCACTGCTGCAACCAGGAAGGTGTGTGTGGCTTATATGTCCCTTCTTGTTTGATTTGAAATTAGGGTTTTTAGCCAACTTCCTTAGGTGAACTACCAATGGTTCACCAACCCGGTTATTGCCCCGGATGTCGGGTTCTGTCCTCTCACTTTGGTGGGAAAACACCGCTACGAGAAGGCAGTGAGTAGGACTTCCTCAGCAGAGGCTATTTGAGACGCTTGGTCATATAGAAGCATTTCGCGAGATGTAAGGGAATGGTGACTAGTCAAAATCCCAGACGCACCACAGCCATAATGAGGCTTTCGAAGGTTGATATGTAAGCTTCAGTGCTTGCAAAATTTATCCAATAGAATTACTTTTGAACCAATCACAGTGCACTAAGCTACTCCCAATATAGCTAGGGAGTAAAAGAACACGGTTTATTCACAAAACATATACCGTTATTCACAATATTTCGAAGAGACTGTGCTGTGAAAACCCCAATTATTTGTGGCTAACGAGTTGCACTAATTATTCAGTTACAAGTTACATATGCAACTCCGGGTACGATGGTATGACTTGTATGAGCGCCTGGTTTCAAAACTAGATCGAAAGATAAAATCACGATTTTCTCGGCGCGCGAGAAAGCAAATTGTTTCGTTTTCAACAAACAGACGAGGTATGCTCGTCAAGTGGATTATACTCAGAATGTGATTTGGGATCAATCTTGACTGTCAATAATGTGTTCCCCGCAAGAACGAGAAAGATTTAGCCACATTCACAACATCATTGGAGCTCTGCAATTCAGATGAGTTTGAAAACTCCAGATCTCGATCAAACACAATGATGAGCAATGACGCGATCGGGATATCGTCCTGTCATGTAGCAAACGTTTGCAGTCCCATGATAAAATATGAAAGTGTACACAAAATTTGGCTGCAGACCTGGATTGAAATGGAAGGCACAGCTTGCTCGCATATTACGCTTGGTCAACAGTATAACTTCAGTAGATGATGCATAGCTAAATGTCAGTTATACACGACCTTACCTACCCCCTTAGATAGTTTACTGCATGGTCGCTCATCTATAATGTATGAAATTTATTGCCTACAATGAGCAATCAATCAATATAGATCCGAATGACCATATGTATTTTTGAATGTGAGCAATTTCAAATCCGCAGTGCTTTATCAGAGAAGAGTAAATTTTATGGAAAATCAAGTGTAAGATGCACTCTAGTCACATGGCTCAAAACCCTTCGGGTGGGAAAATGCTCTTATCAAGCGGTCAAAGTTGATTCATGGCTTCTAGCCTTCCCGGTTTACAATATTCACGAAAGATTAATCCAATCTGAGGACAACTTTAAAAAGTTATCTGATATCGTTATGAAGACTGATTTACTGTTTCATCATTTGACGTTTCAATGGATGCGTCTAGTGTAGAAAGACAACAAGATTGTCTAGAAATCGTTGGTACATATATATAGTACTGCGACAGACTGACAGGGACAACAATCCTAGCAACAGGTAGGGTAGAAGTTTTCCAGTTCACAAATGTAGTCATGAATGACTGATAAAACTCTGAAAAATCTAGAAGCGCGAGTGGGAATAACGCTA